TAGATATTGGGGGGGGGGGGGAGGAACGTGCAGATCTGTCCTCGCAGAGGAGGGAGTGCTTGTACCTGAATAAAACTTGGTCTTAAAAGGTGCCCCTGGACTGTTTTGGACTGGGGGGGTCGCTCTGCAACTTACCTGGCTGCTTCTTGCTCTGACTGAGGGCTGCTGGGAGCAGGGGGTGGGGCTTGTTGCATGTGCCCGCCCCCTGAGCTCTTTACCGCCGGAGCTCCACTCCTGTGCGCTCCTACAGGAAATGACCCCTGTTTATGATGCTTTTGAGAGCGTGCGCTGCTTGGGTGTAAGTTGGAGAAGAGTCTTTTTTTTTTAATGCCACTTGCATGATGACAGGTCGGGTCGCCAACTCTGGGCCGGGAAATTCCAGGTTCGGGGGGGGGGGCTTGGGGAGGGGGCGGGACTTCTGGAGGGGGCGGGACTTCAGCCACAGAGTCCACCCGCCAGGGCAGCCGTTTTCTCCACTGTCACGGGTACCACGGGTCATGTGCATTTTGCCCCAGGGCATCTTCCTGTGGTCAAACTGTGAAAGACGACCACCCCCACCTCCCCTACCACAAAAACCCGGGTGTTTGCCCATCTCTGCGGGGCTTACGCAGCCAATAATGTCTATTTCGCAAGCTCCCCACACTTCGCTTATAAAGGAGGCTTTCGTCACAACTAACTGTCTGTATTCGGTAAAGGTAAAGGTTCCCTTGCTCGAAAGCCAGTCGAATCCGACTCTAGGGTTGCGGTGCTCATCTCCGTGTCCGAAGACGTTTCCATGGTCATGTGGCCGGCATGACTAAACACCAAGGCGCACGGAACGCTGTTACCTTCCCACCAAAGTGGTACCTATTTATCTACTTGCAATTTCTTGCTTTCGAACTGCTAGGTTGGCAGGAGCTGGAACTAGAGACAGGAGCTCACCCCGTCTTGCGGCACCCGGGTCTTGAACTGCTGAACTACTGACCTTCCACAGCCTGCAGTTCAGCGTCTTAACCACTTGAGCCACCGCAGCTCTGTATTCAGTACCCAGACTTAAAAAAAAAAGACTTCTAGCAGCGTATGTGCAGTGCAGCAATTTCTCTTTTATTTCAGGCCATACATTCTGGAGGAGCGGTGTTCCATTCCTACTGCTTGCTCCCCCTGCAGTCACTGTGGCAGCCAGGCGTGTGCCCTACCCTTCCACCCCTCCCCACAATCCCCATCCACAGTGCTGCCGCCCAGGAGTCAAAACGGTTGGGAAGCTCATCT